CAGGTAGTTGAATATGCAACAAGTTCAGCCAAGAGCTCTCGAGCTGGGCCAACTTCAAGCAATATGGGACCTAGAGCGAGTCTAAGTCTAGGCTTTAGATTGAAATGCAAGCAAGATATACAAATATATATATATATATATATATATATATATATATATATATTTATTTATATATATATAAAAGTACTAATTTATATATCACAATTTTTTTTTGTATAAATTTATCACAAATTGGCAACGAAATTATAATAAAGAAATCGTTGCTGACTTCATATGAAAAATTGCCAGCAAATTTATTTCAATCGAAGGCAATTGAAAATTTGCCGACTTTCAAGGAATTAAAGTCAAGTTGAAGTTTAAGGTTTTGCTTGATTTATGTTTTAAGTTTGTTCAGTTTGTTTTTGGTTTTATTTGAATTGCATTTGAAAATTGTGTTTTATCACAATTTAAACGCAAATGCAAAATTTCACATGTTTTGTTAAAAAGTTTTGCTTGTTTTTTTTTTCTCCCTCTTCTATTTTGTTTTTCCGTAGCACTTGAAATTGTTTTTTCTTTTTTTTTTATATATATTTATTTTCGTTGTTTTCTCTGCGCGCGCCGAAATGCGATTAAATTCATTTCAACGTCGACCTCGCAAATTATATGCGAAAAATCTGGCGAGCACAGGCGAATGAGCGTTAGTTTGTGTGAGAGAGCGAGAAAAGCGTACAGGGAGGGAGAGAGAGAGAGAGAGAGAGAGAGAGCGCGCGCACTTCTGCGCACAAATCGATCATAGCGGAGACTGAGAGAGCAGTCAGCCAGGCAGGCAGGCAGAAAGAGAGAGAGAGAGAGAGAGAGAGAGAGAGAGAGAGTGCGATTGGGTTAGTGAGTGAGAGCGGAAGTACAAAGGTGCGAATATTTTCGATAGACTGCAGACTACAAGATTTTTGGCGGCTGACCTTATCAGCCAGCACAATCGGGCGTATGCTTGATAAATATATATATGTATATGTATATACATACATTTTGACTTAATTATTTATGAACTGTTTTGTTTTTTCTTTGAGTGGGGGGGATTTTTAAAAATAAATCACGCTAATTTGTCGGCTGTTTATGGACATGTTTATGAATTTATGCGCTTGTTGATGCCCAAAAAGCGAATAATACAGTATTAATAACAGCAGTAGCACATGCAAAATTTCAATTCAACTCAAATAAAGACATTTGATATGCAAGCAGCGCGCACAGCAACAGCGACTTCCTGAACAATAACAGTAAACTGTAAACATTTTTGTTTTCTTCCCATTTTTCAAGTGCAATGTCACAGCAAAAGGTCGCCAAAGCAACAATTGTCAGGTGAAGCCAAAAAAAACGAGCGCACAATTAGAGCTAATTAACGCTGGCCGCTGCAGAACTGTGTCAATCACCCTGCTTATGGGTTACGCACATACGCTCAATTAATTGTTATTGTTATTGTTGTTGTTGTTGTTGTTGCAACAGACAACATACTGAACGTGAGAGAGGCAGTGAGAACAATAATTTGAGAATCTCAACGAACGACAATTAAAGCCCACGCGCCGCTGACGTCAATGCAGCAGCTGAGCGAGAAAGAGTGCGAGGTGAGGGGGTGAGAGAGTGAAGGAGGGCCGTCTCTAGATACACACACAAAATGGGCGACGTGATCGCGAACACCACCAGTAACAACAACAACAGCAACAACAGCAACAACAATAAAATGCCAAAAGGACAAACCCCAAACTCAAGTCTCTATCAAATTGTGGCGCGTGCAAAGCCCCATGCCCACATTCGGAAGCCCCGCATTAATGCTTATCAATTTAATTGGACCAAACTTAAAGACACATCGAATTTGGCAGGGAATGAGGCATTTCTTTTGTCAAAGGAATTTACAAGCGCTGACAGCACAAAATTAATGTGCAGCAATACAAATGATTTCATAGATATTTGATAATATAAATATATACATATATATACACATGTATATCTGCCTATCATATTGCAATATCGAAAGCACGCGCAACGCTTAGTTCCACTTAATATCAAATAAAACAAATAATGAAATGGATTTTGTGGCCAGCTATCTTTTAATTAATATTTAAATAAACAGCTTTTATGTTTGCTTTAGGCTTAACTACAGCTATCTGGCAACGCTGGTTGAGCATGTGTGGCACATTAAGTTGGCTGCGCTTAGGGCCTGACAGGATATGATGAAATATGCGAGTTTAATAATAAAATTGTAGATTATTGCATTCTACGTGTGATATAAACTCCCAGCTAGATTTTA